CATCTCATTATACCCTTCCACCATCATAGACATTACGCAGTCACTTGATCTTCCTAAGTATGAACTAATATCACAATGTGAAATCCACTTCACCTCCCCAACTAGAAAACATGAAAAGATTCTTCACACACAGATAACTCGGGGCTATACTTCAATTTAAGATGGAAATCAAGCACCTAATAGTTCTTCTATCCTCTAACAGACCCTTATCGTCGCTTCCAAATCATATGAATACATCTCGCAGTCACATCAAACTCATCACACAGCTATCCAGTCATCACTCCCACTAATAGGGACACTATCGACAATACAAATCAAAAAGTACGTGCTCACACAATCAACGCCTCAGCGCTCTAGCTATAGGCAAAGACCCGGCCTCAAGTCCTCCAAACTGGCCCAACCTCAACACACAAAGATCATATCTCACCCCTCGATCAGAGAATCACAAGCCATCGATGCACATTTGATACTGAGCGCTCATGCTCGCATACGAACGCGTGGAAAAGAATTCAAAGAGTTACATTTCAAGCTGAATCAAAGACGCACAATAAAAATTCAAGAATGAACTTTTTCCTAAAGGTTCTGCAGCCTCCCGAGGATAAGTACAGACTTCTCCGTACCGATCCATGAGACTCTACTAAACCTGCTCATGACTCGTGAGACCTATGTAACATAGGCTCTAATACCAACTTGTCATAACCGCAAATCGGACCCGGTCACGATGGCGCCTCTCGTAAAGACAAGGCCAGCCGACACAATTCCCAAATTCATTTTAACAATTTTAATAAGTCAATTTGAGTCATTTATAAGAAATAAATCCCAAAATTTAGCGAAATAAAATAAGTGAGGAAAACGATACAGCTCGACATCGGGGTGTCACAAGTCACGAGCATCTACTAAGGTTTAAATACAACAGAAAGTCTGAAAATATACTAAATACAATCTAATGAAATCAAGAGGGAGAAAAGCAGTGCTGCGAACGTCGGGCAGCTACCTTGCTAAACTCCGATGACTTTGCCTCTGAGCAACCAATACCTGCTACCGGGTTCAGAAATGCTTGAATCTGCATAAAAAGTGCAGGGAGTAATGTGAGTACTTCGACTCAGTGAGTAATAACAATAAATGAAGACTGAGCGATAAGAAAACATGTAAGAACACAACAACATGCTATAAAGAAGCAGTGTAACACCAATAAAAGGTAAACAGTTAAACACCTTATAAAACACCTTTGTTTAGAATAAACTTCTTTAAAACTCTTTTTAACAGTTAAACAGGTAAATGAAAAGCAGCTAGAAAAGATAAACACATAAAATTCGTCCCTCGGGCACAATGTCAATAGAATCAGCCCCTCGGGCAATAACATGGAACAACACCAGCCCTTCGGGCTATATCTCATATTACAATGGGTACCCATACTCACTGGGGGTGTGTAGACTCCGGGAGGGGCCCTTACGGCCCAAGCGCAATATCAAGTCATCTCGTGGCATAATCAATAGGCTCTCGGCCTCATATCAACAAGCCACCTTGTGGCGTATAATCTTAGGCCCTCGGACTCATAATCATAATTAGTGTATCATTACTACAACGTGCAGCTCGACCCAAAAGTATCATCACAACACAGGCCCTCGACATTACTCAGTCAGAATCTCATAAGCCACTCGGGCAACAGTAAAACATGATGATCAGCCCAAAATATCATTTAAGTTATCATTTAATTTATTAAAATAGCGTAAACATGGCTGAGTGATTAAAACAGTAGAATATAGCATGACTGAGTACAAGTATAAAGTCAAGACAGTGAGGAAATATCAGTAAAAATCCCCTAAGGGTCCAAATAGTTGGCACGAGGCCCAAATATGACATTCAACCCAAACATGATGATAGAAAATAGTTTTCAATCAAATACGCGATAAAACAGTCATTCGGGACGGACTAAGTCACAATCCCCAACGGTGGACGACCCCACATTTATCATCTAGCATGTGCGTCACCTCAATATAGCGCAACGATGTGCAATACAGGGTTTCATACCCTCAGGACAACATTTAAAATCATTACTCACCTCAATCCGGTAGCCCGCGACGCCTTTGCCTCTCGAATCGGCCTCAACTCGCGTTGAATCTATCCAAAATCAGAATCACAACGTCAAAATATGCTAAGGGAACGAAGCCCATTTGAAAATAATCAATTTACAACATCAATCTCGAAATTAACCAAAACCCGACCCCCGAGCCCACGTCTCGAAATTCAATAAATTTTACATCAATAGATTCCTTATCTCCCTACGAGTTCCTATATATCAAAAGTACCAAAATCCGACCACAAATGGCCCCTCAAATCATCACATCAAGGTCTCCAATACCAAGCCCTAGTTTCCCAATTTTTACCCTTAATTTCCATAATTACAGCTCTAATATGTGAAATAATACCATAGAAATGAGTTTTAGATTCAACAATCTTACCTCAAGACGTTATCCCTTGAATTCCTCTTCAAAATGGCTTCCCCAAGCTCAAACCCGAATAAAAATAGTAAAGAAATAGCTGAAAATCGCAAAGGAAACCTTTTATACTTTATGACCCAGGCTTTTCACACCTGCGGTCCTTTTCCCGCTTTTGCTTCCCACTTTGTGGTCCCGCTTCTGCGGCCTAATCCATCACATCTGTGGTTTTCACTTAAATGGCCATTTCCGCATCTGCGATTAAAAACTCGCACCTACGCTACCGCAGGTACGCCCACTTCATCGCTTTTGTGGTTCCTGAAGAACTATTTCTTGGCCGCATCTGCGGCTACCTTCCTCTTCTGCGATCATCGCACCTGCGGCCTCCCAACCGCAGGTGTGGTTATGATAGCAACAATATGCTTCAGCTGTCCCAACTCAATTTTAAACCTTCCGCCAACCATCTGAAATCACCCCAAGGCCCCCGAGACCTCAACCAAAAGCACAACCCAGTCAGATACCACTACCCAAACTTATACCAACCTTCGAAATACCTCAAACAACATCGAATCCATCAAATCACATCAAATTCAAGCTTAAGATTCTAAAATCTTCTGAATCTCGCTTTTGATCAAAAAGTCTACCAAACAACGTCCGAATGACCTGAAATTTTGCACACACATCCTAAATGACACAACAGACCTACTGCATCTCCCGGAATTCCATTCTGACCCCTATATCAAAATCTCACATATCAATCGGAAAATATCAAAATCTCAAGTTCGCCAATTCAAGCCTAAACCTTTCCCGGACCTCCAAAACACATTTCGACCATGCTCCTAAGTCCCAAATCACCTATTGGAGCAAACCAAATTATAAAAATTCCGATCTGAAATCATATACCAACAAGTTAAAACTTGGTCAAATCTTTCAAATTTTAAACTTCAAACTGAGAACTGTTCTTCTAAATTCATTTCGATTATCCTGAAAACCATAACTGACAATTTAAATAAGTCATAAGACATCACACGGGGCTAGACATGCCCGAGAACTGGCGAGTGAAGTGCAAAAGCTCAAAACGATCGGTCGGGTCGTTACAAGAAGGCTATGAGAGCAGTTATCGATTAATTAGCAACCATGAGTGAATTGTATGAGAGGAAGATTTGACTAGAATATAATAGGATTGGTGAATCAATCACAACCCTGGAATATTTATCTCTATTGAATACATAACGATCATTCTCCTGCTTGATAATTTAGTTATTACTTAGAATTGTAGTTTAGCATAATTAAACTCTTGAACTCGAATTTAGCTTGACGGAATAACAATATTGGTGTTTTAGTGAGTAATTGATATAAGTCTCTGTGGGTTCGACACTCGAATTATCATTTTATTACTTGTACACGTATACTTGCATGTGCGTTTGGGAGCAATGAGTTTTTGGCACCGTTGCCAGGGACTTAAAAATTAGCTATTTTGCTTACTTAAGCTTTTATTAGTTATTTGTTCAAGTTTTAATTTTCAGTTTACCTTGTTTGTGTTAACACAGGCTCTTCTCTTGAATGCGGACTTAATTTTCAGTTTACCTTGTTTGTGTTAACACAGGCTCTTCTCTTGAATGCGGACTTAATTTTCAGTTTACCTTGTTTGTGTTAACACAGTCTCTTCTCTTGAATGTGGGGAGTAAAAGCGCAAATAATCTCCTTCCTCTTGATCCTGAAATTGAACGGACACTTCACAGGGTGAGGAGGGAGGTAGAAGCTAGAACTAGAATAGATAGAGAGTTGGACATTGTAGTTCAACCACAGCCAATAAAGATGGCAAGTAATGTAGAGCGTGCGGTGATAGAAGCCGCAAGGCCCAATCTTGCTAATATGACTCAGGCTATTATGAAGCCTGAGATCACATGGCATTTTGAACTCAAACAGTACATGGTACAACTGATTCAGTCCACAGGGAAATATGTGGGTCTATCTCATGAAGATCCGCAGAGGCACATTTAGAATTTCTTGGAAATTACGAACACCTACAATTATCCGAATGTTTCCAAAGACTATGCCAGGCTGACACTTTTTCCCTTTTCACTATTGAGGGAAGCAAGGAAATTCTTAATCAAGTTTTTCCCCACCAAGAAGACAAAGTCATTGAGGAGTCATATTCTTGGGTTCGAACAATGGGACGGCAAGACACTTCGTCAAGCTTGGGAAAGATACAAGAAACTACTCAGAGATTGCCCACACCATTGTCACACTGATGAGGTATTGGGACACACTTTTGTTGACGGGCTAGATGAGGCCTCAAAAATGAATCTTGATTCAGCTTGTGGGGGTAGTTGCATGGCGAAACCATATAGTGAAATTCAACTCTTGCTGAATAACTTCACTGCTAATGATCATAACTGGCAAGGAGATGGGGATTCATGCAAGGCAAGTAAACAGAAGGCAACCGAGTTGATTGAGCTTGATGACTTCTCGGCTATGAGAGCTGAGATAGCAAAATTGGCAAACCAGATGAATAGAATGACAATGCAACAGACACAATAGATGCAACATGTACAACAAATGTCTCTTTGGTGCGAACTATGTGGTGACAACCATATGAGTTACATGTGCCCCACGAATCCAGAATCTATATACTATGTGGGACAACAGAGCAGGGGTCCAATGAATCAGAATGCACAATATGGGAACACTTATAACCCAAATTGGAAGAATCATCCCAACTTCTCATGGGGTGGAAATCAGCCGAATAAGAATCATTATAGACCCCAAGGAAATTTCAATCAACCTCAAAAGCCACCTCAACAGGTAGAAGAGAAAGGGAATGATTTGTTGAAGCAGTTGTTGCTTGACAATCAACAGCTCAGGATCGATTTCAGAAATTTAGAGTGCCAAATGGGACAGCTTGCCAGTGCTCAAATCACTAGACCAATTGGAGCTCTTCCAAGTGACACTGAAGCTAATCCTAAGGCATCCCTTAATGCCATATCGTTGAGGAATGGGCGACAATTAGAAGAGGTTCAGTCAAAAAAGAGCAAATAGGTGACTTTTGATGAGAGGCCAGCCACTATTGAATCAATATCAGAAAAATCTAAGGAATTCGAGAAGCCAGTTGGAGAGGTGGTGGCTGAGCAACCCCCACCAGTGGTTGCAAGGCCACCACCTCCGTTCCCTCAAAGATTGCAGAAAGTAAAAGATAACGCCGCATATAAAACATTTCTTGATATTTTGAAGTAGGTACAAATTAATATTCCATTGGCTGACATCTTACAAGAAGTGCCCAAATATACAAAGTACATCAAGGACATAGATGCAAATAAAAGGAGGCTGACCGAATTTGAAACCATGGCACTCACTGAGGAGTGTAGCTCAAGAATTCAAAGCAATCTACCTCAGAAATTGAAGGACCCAGGTAGTTTCACTATCCAAATCTCGATTGGTAAATATGCAGTTGGGCGAGCCTTATGTGATCTTGGAGTGAGAATCAATTTGATGCCGCTATCGGTGTTCAAACAATTGGGGTTGGGTGAGCCATGCCCAACAATGTTAATTTTACAGCTGGTTTATCGCTCCCTTGATCATCCTGAAGGAGTGATTGAAGATATGTTGGTTCAAGTGGGGTCTTTCATATTCCTTGCCGATTTCATTATCCTGGACTACGAGCCCGATCAGGAAGTCCCATTTATTTTGGGGCGTTCATTTTTAGCCACAGGCCGAGCTATTATTGATGTTTAAGAAGGAAAGATGACGATGAGAGTAGGTGATCGAGTGGTGGTATTCAATGTTTATAAAGCATTCAGGTTGCCAGCCCACTATGAAAAGTTATCCATGATCTCTGTGGTGGAGAGTGATGCCACATCGTTAGTGCCCTATATGAGCCCTCTATATCCTGTTGAACAAGTGTTGATTGGGGATGAAAAAGATAGTGAAGATGAAATGATGGGAGAAATTGAGTAAGTACTGGATATGTCCTACAGTTATGTCCAGGGGTTTGGAAAATTTGAGAAGTTGGACAGGCCTGTCACTCTGACCCCTCCTAAGCCATCTATTGAAGAAGCTCTGAAGCTAGAACTTAAGCCACTTCCAGTGCATCTGCGCTATGTTTATTTGGGGAACTCAGAGACATTGCTCGTGATTATTTCGTCGAGCTTGACCAACACTCAAGAAGAAAAATTGCTCAGAGTACTCCGCGAGTGTAAAAAGGCCATTGGGTGGACTATTGCTGACATCAAGGGATTTAGTCCATCGGTTTGTATACATAAAATCTTCTTTGAAGATGGACACCGCCCTAGTGTGGAGCAGCAGAGAAGGTTAAATCCCATTATGAAAGAGGTGATGAAAAAGGAAGTAATCAAGTTGCTCGATGCAGGTGTCATTTTTCCTATTTCTAACAGCAACTGGATAAGTCCAGTTCAATGTGTGCCCAAAAAGGGAGGAATGACTTTGATTGAGAATGAACTAATTCCTACTCGTACTGTGACGGGGTGGAGAGTCTGCATTGATTATAGAAGGCTCAACAAAGCAACCTGCAAGGACCACTTCCCACTTTCATTCATTGACCAAATGCTAGACAGATTAGCTGGGCATGAATATTATTGCTTTCTTGATGGATATTCGGGATACAATCAGATTGTCATATGCCCATAGGATCAGGAGAAGACCCCTTTTACTTGTCCTTATGGTACTTTTTCCTTCAATCGAATGCCGTTTGGTCTTTGTAATGCACCAGCCACTTTCCAGAGGTGCATTATGGCTATTTTCACCGACATGGTGGAAAAATTTGTGGAAGTGTTTATGGATGATTTTTCAGTTTTTGGGTCTTCTTATGATGATTGCTTGAGGAATTTAAGCAAGGTGCTGGCCCATTGTGGAGAAACAAATCTAGTACTGAATTGGAAAAAGTGTCATTTTATGGTACAAGAAGGCATCGTGTTGGGTCACAGAATATCTAGGGGCGGCATTGAAGTTGATAAGGTGAAGGTGAAAGCGGTTGAAAAATTACCTCCACCTATTTCAGTGAAGGGTGTCCGGAGTTTCTTGGGACATGCGGGTTTCTGTCGACGCTTTATTAAAGATTTTTCTAAAATTGCTATTCCTTTGTGCAGGTTGCATGAAAAAGATATAACTTTCAACTTTGATGACGCTTGCCTCAAGGCATTTGAAGAACTCAAAAAGAAGTTGGTGTCTACTCCCATTATTGTGGCACCCGATTGGTCCTTACCATTTGAACTTATATGTGAAGCAAGTAACCATGCAATTGGGGAAATGTTAGGCCAGAGGAAGGACAATGTGTTTTATTCCATCTACTATGCGAGTAAGACTCTTGATGATGCACAACTGAATTACACCACCACTGAGAAGGAGTTGTTAGCTGTTGTGTGGGCCTTTGAGAAATTTCGGGCATACTTGGTGGGACCGAAAGTCATAGTCCATACTGATCATGCAACAATCAGGTATTTGTTTACAAAAAAGGAATCTAAGGCTAGGTTGATGCGATGGGTTTTGTTGCTGCAAGAATTTGATGTAGAAATACGAGATCGAAGGGGGACAGAGAACCAAGTAGCTGACCATCTATCAAGGCTGGAAAATCACGATCACGTGGAGGAGGGTGGCCAAATTAAAGAAGTATTTCCTGATGAGCAACTTTTTGCTATAACCCAAGACCCCCCTATGGTACGCAGACTATGTGAATTATCTTGTGAGTGGGGTACTTCCTCCTGAAATCCAATCTGAAGCTAGAAATAGGTTTCTACATAATGTGAACTTCTACTACTGGGATGAGCCATATTTGTACAAGCAATGTGCTTATCAGTTGATGAGGAGATGCATTCCAGAAAAGAAGGTTGAATTAGTGTTGTATGATTTCCACGCATCACCTTATGGGGGCCATCATGGAGGAGGTAGAATAGTTACAAAGGTACTACAATCCGGTCTCTTTTGGCCAACTTTATTCAAGGATGCCCATGCATTCGTTAAGAAGTGTGACCAATGTCAAAGGACAGGAACAATCAGAAGGAGGCATGAGATACCTTTGAATAACATCCTAGAAGTTGAGCTTTTTGATGTGTGGGGGATAGATTTTATGGAGCCATTTCCACCGTCCAGAGGAAGCAAATACATTTTGCTAGCAATTGACTACGTGTCAAAATGGGTGGAGGCAATTGCTTTGCCAACAAATGATGCCATGGTGGTAGCTGCTTTTGTGAAAAAGAACATATTTTCGAGATTTGGGACTCCACGTGCCTTAATTAGTGATGATGGGACTCATTTTTGCAATCGGTTGTTGAATAACCTTCTATCTAAATATGAAGTTCGCCACAGAGTTGCTACAACATATCATCCTCAAACAAGTGGGAAAGCTGAGGTGTTAAACAGAGAAATAAAGCAAATATTAGAGAAGACGGTGAGTGTGAATAGGAAGGATTGGGCTGCAAAGTTAGATGATGCCTTATAGGCGTATAGAACTGCATATAAAACGCCAATTGGGGCGTCCCCTTACAAGCTTGTTTATGGGAAGGCATGTCACTTGCCCGTTGAACTGGAACACAAGGCATACTGGGCCATTAAGAAACTGAACATGGACCTTGAAGCCGCGGGCGAGAAAAGACTTTTGCAGTTGAATTAGTTCAGGTTGCACTATTATGAAAATGCTAATCTCTATAAAGAAAAGACAAAAAGATGGCATGACAAGCATATCAAGCTGCGTCACTTAGAGCCAGGCCAACATGTATTATTATTCAATTCTAGGCTAAGGCTGTTTCCTGGAAAGTTAAAATCGAGATGGTCAGGCCTGTTTGAGGTGGTGAGAGTCACTCCTTATGGTGCAATTGAGTTGCGAGCTTTAAATAGTGAAAGGAAATTTTTGGTGAATGGACATAGAGTCAAGCATTATTGGGGAGGAATGATTAATAGTGAGAAGACCAAGGTTGTACTTGCTGATGAGTAAGAGAGAATCTGCGTCGTGCCACGATGTTAAATCAGGCGCTTGTTGGGAGGCAACCCAATTTTTATTGCTTTCCTAGTTGAACTTCTTAAATTTTCTTTTAGTTAGAGTAGATAGAGTTTTGCATTTTCTTTGTAGGTATAAAAATTATAGATATAATGGTGTAGGACATGTAGATTGGGTATATAAAAGGCTCGGGGTATAAGAATTTCTTTTTTTTTTTAAAATCGCGAAAACAGGCCCAGGCCAACGCCCAGCACTGTCTGGGGCACTGGAAATAGTATCTACAAAAACCCCAGCGCCAGGCAGGGCGTGAGGCACCAGGCTGGGGTGGATCAGGTAAGTTTTTTTTATTTTCTTATTTTATTTTCGTTTCCTTTATTTCTTTATTGACCCATACCCATTTAACCCAACCCAGATACCTATTTATACTAACACTCTAACCCATCTTAATACCCATATCCTTTTCCAACCCAACTTAACCATAACCAAACCCACCCAAACATGTAACCATCGATCAAAACCCAAGGAACCCAACGGGAAACGCTGAAAAAATGCTATAGCTTCTGCCGAATTACTCTTCTTCCACCTCTACAATTTTATCATAGTTTTATTTTGCCATCCTTCTACACTCTCCAGGTAAGTTATTCTTTTTTTTTTTTCTTATTCTTCTTCTTGTTTGTATTTTGAATTATTATATATCCCATTCCCAAGAGCCCCAACTCCCCAAATTTTTTCCCTATGTAGTTCTTATGAAATTTTATAGTGGATGGCTTGTATTGGTCGAATTTCTGTAGTTTTTATGTATACGGGTAGTAAACTAGAATTCCCTCTACTTCGTTGAAAATTTGGAGGGCCACCATATTCCACCATTGTTGAATTATAAGCACACACTTTATGTCCGCAAGGTGTTTGTTAAAATGCTTGAATAAGGATTTTGGTGCACCGGTGAAGTATGAGTAATCGGGTATATTTGTGTACGAATTTAGGGTAAGTATGGGGTGTGTAGGGATGCTTTTACATGCTAGGGGATGTGGCTTTGATGCAATACAGGTTCCTACACCATTTATCTTATATAATGTATGTTGTAGAATCTTGTAAATTTGACTAATTTAGTATAGTCAAGTAGTTGTGAAAGGTGTGTACCATATGCCTCTTTCTTACCTTAATGTGAATTCGCGTAGCTATGATCAATTATTATTGTGTGACATTTGGAAGTCTTGAGTACCCATAGCTTTAGGGTGCAACACTTGTACATGTTGGATCCAAAATTGTGACATCGTATACATTGTGCCTTCGGTTTAAGTGTGGGGTCATTTCATGACTTGCACAAACAACCTAAGGCATATTTCTTGAAGTGTTCTCACAGTTGTGCTTATTTGTGTTGTAGGATATTATGGCTCGTGATGGTTCTAGAAAAGTCAAAGGCATTGGAAAGTCCTCCACCACTTCCCCGACAACCAAAAAGCGAAAGCAGGGGGAAAGCTATTCATGCCAATCCAAAGGAAAATAGGTTGTTGAGTCATCCCAGCAAGCTCCATTACCCCCACGGCCTCGGTTGAAGCTAGTATCTGATGCAGGTATTGCATGGCACAGGAATTTCATGCCATATGGGTGGTATGTTTCTGAGATGGGAATCAATATCAAGGCTTTGGAACGCAACTTCCCGGATGTCTTCGACCGATTATGAGCATAAAAAATGGACAAACTTCTAGAATACCCTGGACACATAAATTTGAGCATGATTAGAGAATTATATGCTAATTGGAATTACAAATTATCTAGGTCACAT